TGTCATGGAGATGATAACTAGAATTACACTTCTTATAACTCACATATTTATTATAACAAAAAATAACGGCGTGACCTTTTATCCCCGAAAGGGTAGGCAGAGGTGCACATTATGTCACTGTACAATGTAAGACCAACTTTTCACTATTTATGTTATGAGTTCCATGTAATAGGGGGTGAGCCTATTGCCATATACCGGGCACAATTCCAGACTCCGTGCTACTACCTACTTAGTTTTTTTGAAAAACCCAGTAATACTTTGCCCGACCCGGGAATTGAACTCGAGACCCCTTGCCCGGCAGGCGCACTTGCGACCACTCGGCCAATGAGGCAGTTATTTATTATCGTCATGGTTAATAATAACATGGTAGGTATACACTTTACAGTAAATCAAAGAATAGAAATATGACGAACAGAATTTTAGGAAATCTAAGAATTGAATAAAACCGTATATTCTGAAATAGGTACTTAACGATTGAAACTATTAAATTAAACAATGACCACAGTTAAGCACAATCTCAAAAATATATCTTCAACTTTATAACCACTTCCAGTCATCTGAATTCAATAACAAAACAATACCGAAGTACCTACTAATACTTAATAAGATATCCGAGTTCTCAACTCGAGATACCCGGATTTGGAAACCGGGTGCAAATCTGTCTCATCCTGTATCTGGTACTAAAACTGAGAAAAACACAGATGTTTCCTAAATTTTATTTTAATATCCGTCTAAAAGATTTAATTCAAACATTAGGCAGGTATTTTTTGTTTTCTCACAAAATTAATTTAATTTAAAATATTGTGTCACATAACGATTTACTACACATAACATCACGCCTTTTATTCCCGAAGGGGTAGACAGAGGTGTACATCATAGCACTTAATGCCACTGTACAATGAACGCCCATTTTTCACCATTTATGCTATGAGTCCCATGTAAAAGGGGGTGAGCCTATTGCCACATTCCAGACACCGTGCTACAACTGATTTTTTTTTTAAAACTGCGTTTAAAAAAACCGACTTTAAAAACAAATGACAAACAAAAAGTAAAAACTAAAAAGGAAAAAAAACTATTAGTGGTCATATGTACGTATAGCTTATACACCCACTGATAGGTTAGAAGTCGGTGCCACAAGTTTTAAACAAAATTATTCATTAAAACCTTAAATACCTAACATTATTGAGCTGTTTACAATTTTATTATGGATTATACCAGCTGTGACTTTTGTCTACTTTATATTTTATTGTGGGTTTGTGGCACTGAATTCTAACCTATCAGTGGGTGTATAAGCTATACGTACGTATGACCACTAATAGTTCTTTTTTTCCTTTTTAGTTTTTACTTTTTGTTTGTCAATTTTCATCAATACAAATTATGCAAGTTCAAACACCGGGTGGGTACTCTTAACCATTGAGGAGTCCCTTAGCTATCATACTACTTCGTCATTGGACCTTTAATGACCATCACCCCCCCCCCCCATCTAGGTGTAAAGTCCTCATCAATACAAATTAATCAAACCTAAACACAAAATAGCTACTGTTAACCGTTAAGGAGTGCCCTCAACTATCGTACTACTTCATTATCAGACCCTTATTGACAATTACACCCCACTCAGGTGTAAAGTCCTCATCAATACAAATTATTCAAACCCAAACACAAGGTAGCTACTTTTAACCGTTAAGGAGTTCCCTCAACTATCGTACTACTTCATCATCAGACCCTTATTGACAATTACACCCCACTCAGGTGTAAAGTCCTCATCAATACAAATTAATCAAACCCAAACACAAGGTAGCTAGTGTTAACCTTTGAGGAGTTCCCTCAACTATCGTACTACTTCATCATCAGACCCTTATTATCAATTACACCCCACTCAGGTGTAAAGTCCTCATCAATACAAATTAATCAAACCCAAAAACAAGGTAGCTAGTGTTAACCTTTGAGGAGTTCCCTCAACTGGCTCTCGGCTCCATCATCAGATCGGCTCCAGACCTTTATCAGATTGTAGTGGTTTTTAATACTTAATGAAAAAATTAACAAATGTCCTAGTCACCCCTATAATTTTTAAAAGTTCCCCTCGGTTTCCCTGGTTTTCCATCATCAGATCCTGATTTCCTTATCATAGAACCATTCTGAAACTATCTCCTTTCTAACAAAAAAAGAATTTTCAAAATCGGTTTATAAGCAACGGAGATATCGGCGAACAAACATAAAAAAAAGCATATATACGGTCGAATTGAGAACCTCCTCCTTTTTTTGAAGTCAGTTAAAAAGTACTTACCCTACAGGGCGCTTTTTGTTTAAGGATAGACAATCATCCATTGGGTATACCATACTTCTCCCGCCTTGGGTAGGGCGAAAGGGAGTGTCAGACTCTTACCGACTAAAAACCACCCCCCGTTCCTTCTCCTGATGAGCTACATAGAACCATTTTAATTTTTATTTTTATACCCTGTAAACATCCCTATTTTTAAAGAGCTCTTGACCTCGACATTACGACAAACAGTTGTAACTCGAGAGGCTAACTTTAGCTATCAAATTGTGATCATCTATTTCGTTTAAACTTAAAATGCGCTTTTTTTACGTTTCAGGAGCTAAATGAGAATTTAATCGAGTACTCGTGGAAGATCTACGGTGATATTATGCAGGACAGTAATTAGCATAATGAGACATCCGTATAGTATTTTTAAAAGAACCTTTATGGGTTGTTTCCTGCTGATACCTCAATAACTGTGGATAATAGCACTTAAAGCGCTAAAGAAAAAGTTAATTTATTGGATTGGCGCCAAACACATTTAAAAGATTACTATTGTCTAGAGTCTAGAGAAACGCACTTTTAACGCCTTTGGCGTTCCAGATGTCCATGGGTGACGCCGATTGCTTACTGCCATCAGGTAATCAGTCTGCTCGTTTACCGGTTTATGCCATAAAACAATTTAACAATTTCTATTATAATGAATTAATACCCATATCACATCAACAGTCTATAAGAGGCCACTGTTGACCAAAGGCCTCTTTTCGCACTGAGAAGGTTTGAGGACGATGATTTCTTTCACCATTTGTCAAATAGTGCCAAATAATCTAAGAAAGTACATATAAGTCGAAAAAGTCACATTGATATTTACCATTGATAGACTTCAAACCCGCACCCTCATGCATGGGTAAGCAGCCGTCTTAAACTTCAGAGCCAATAAAAATAATTTAAAAGATTACTGGGTTTTAAAAAAAATCTCAGTAGTACCACGGAGTTTGGAAATGTGCCCGGTATATGGCAATAAGCTCACCCCCTATTACATGGGACTCATAACATAAATAGTGAAAACTGGGTGTAATAGTTTACAGTGGCATTAAGCGTAATATGCACCTTTGCCTAACCCTGCGGGGATAAAAGGCGTGATGTGAAGATATAAAAACGTAAATCTCAATCTAAAAAAAACCTCGATAAGCACGAAAACGATCAGTCGATATGAGTTGTGCTTACTATCAGCCATAATCAGTGTTCATGACAGGCTATCTTAGTTACCCACTGAAAATAGACAGGACGAGGCTTCGTGTTTGACATAAACATTCTTTGGAAACTTCGTCCAGACATATTTAATATGAGTTGCCGTCTGCGACAGAATATTACAAGGAATAGTATTTACTAGACAATTCAACAGTCAGGGACGAAGTTGTTTTGTATTGTACAGAAATAAAAATAGAAATGAAAATAGAAAGTAATAGAGTGGCAAGGAATTGCTTTTTATTTAAAACTGATTTTCCATATTTTCATAATCGTCAAGACTTTCAAGTCGGTGCAATAATAGTTCGGTACAATGAATAAGTTATATTAAAAGTTGATACTTACTGATTTTTGACAATACTGAGTTCTATATTTGACATAGTAATACAAAAACTACAAACAAAGCCACAACAATCAGTAATGAACAACATATACTTTTTTTATGGCATGAGCCGATAAACGAGCAGACGGATCACCTGATGGTAAGAAAACGGCGTCGCCCATGTACACCTGGAACACCAGAGGCATTACAAGTGCGTTACTGGCTTTTTGGGGATTAGGAGTTTGAGGATCGTTGGGGATTCAGGGATTGGAGAAGGGGAGGGTAATTGGGCCTCCGGTAACCTCCCTCACACGACGAAACACAACGCAAGCGTTGCTTCACGTCGGTTTTCTGTGTGGCCGTGGTATCACTCCGGTCGAGCCGGCCCATTCGTGCCGAAGCATGGCTCTCCCACACTTATACTATAGTGGTAATACAAATACTATCAGTATTTCATACTAAAACCAGCCTCTAATGTTGAGTAAAAACCAGCAGACCAATACCTATATTGTATACCTAAGCAGATGTGTCCAAAGCTTATCTGCCAAAGCAAATCAACGACACTAGAGGGTCAAATTGGGTTACTGATAACAAAACTGCTGGATAGAAAATCTGATATATTTTGCAGAATCTTAAAAAAGTTTTGACGAAGCTGTTATGTTCGGTAATTTTCTGAAGATCGATCTGATGTTATTGAAAGATTAAATCAGTTTAAAATTTGTTGAGCTTAGTTATACAGTGGAGGGAGATTTGGCTTATTTTTATGAGGATCTAGATCGTCGCTTTTATATCACTGAAGTGAAGACGAATACAACCTTTGGATGTCAACAACATATCCTGTGGGATATTGATTTTTAATAATCATTAATCGTGTTTGTTATGACAGTCGGTAATCATAGCCCATTGCGACGCGTGTCACAGTTTCGTCTATTTTTGACACGTTTTTGCTAAACTTTTAGCCGGTCGATATTTCCAACGCCAGACAAATTTAAAACTAGGGAACAACTTTGTATATTTTTACAATTCGTCCATACTAAAAAAACTGGCAAAATTTTATTCTGCAGTTAAGAATTAACTAATGATTGAAAAATTTGGCCCTAAGAGTTTTACACTAAAAAACAGACAAAATAACAATAACCAAAAATATTGTATAAATAAAATAAATCAACTCACCTGTCGATCCTTAAACATGAGTAATATCACCATCAGGTTCAGGAAGAACCCGAAGAATCCGATCAGGAACAACACGAATGCTGACACCACATACCCCCACCTCGGCATGAGCAGTGGAAACCCTTCATCCACTGCCTTCACCACCGAGTCATTAAAGTGCTCCGTGTATGACGTCATCATTACTCACTCTCACTTCACTCACTAACACTCAAACTTCATGAGTAGTATTTAAATCAAGTTAGAATACTGATTCATTTAACACTTTTTACTTTGGATACATTTTAGTATCTATGCCAGGTTTAGAATTCAGATCAAAACTGTTGCTAGGTTGGTTGACTAGACATTCATGTAGTTTGATCTGTACTATATGTAGGTGTCATTTCTCTATTAAATTTATTCTGATTTATATGTTATTTTTGGGAATTCCACCAACCGTTCCATACCCTCATTCAGTTCTATCGTGATTTATCCCTACGCACAGAACACACACAAATTCACTTTTTAAAAAAACATCGGTTGTCAAACAGCCCTTTTGTTACCTGAAACAAAGAAGCGTACATAAAGAACTTTGTACTTTAATGATAGAAAAGATTTCGTCGAACTGAACGCCTCATTTTTTCTTGCTAACTTGGAAATTAAGTTTCCAAGAAATCGTTCAAAATATTTTTACCGGGTGTAACTTTCACGAAAGATAACATTGTTTCTTTGGAAAAATTGTGTCATGTTCTTGTTTTATTCTCAGTAGCATTTTTGTTATCCATCATTGTCTTAATGAAAACAAGACAATAGACATAACACTTACAAAGACGACCACTGCTAAACTGCCTTCTCAGAAAAAGTATGATATTTTGGGAATCTCTTTAACTCTTATCGATACATGAAGATGACAGCACGGTTGGGGCGGTGACTGGGCAACCGGCTGCCGTGCAACGTGTTGCGTAATCCACGGAGCGTCTCTTTTTGTGATCCACAAATTGTTGTTTCGGGTCTGGATATTATGTGCTTTAGAACTTGTATATTTGTAAATGCACTAAAGACACTCATAGTGTTTTTTTTCAAGGGGAAAAGGAAGGGGTTTTTTGTTTTCGCCCGCACCCAGGGTGCACCACGGGGAGGTCTTCTGGCACCGCACCCCAAAATCATAGTGTAGGCCAACGTTTAGTCGCGGAGAACCTAACGGGTAACCGGGGCTCCGGCTCGACGTGCAGGAGAAGGAACGGGGTGGTTTTTAGTCAGTAAGAGTCTGACACTCCCTCCCGCCTCACCCAGGCGGGAGCAGTTATTCGATGATTTTTCTCCCCTTAAAAAAAAGGGGGCAACGTTTAAAAAAAATATTAACAAAAACAACACAGTCAGCAGTCATACTTGGTGCCGTTCTACCAACAAGACACAATTTTTATCAAGTCGAACTTCAGTACTAAATCATTATTTTGTATACAAATAAATACCCAACAGCTGATGGTATGTGTACAAACATTTCAGTGTTGCCAAACACAAATTGCTCTGCTCAATGAAGCGTTTGCAACACTCAATCATACGCGTATTCCTTCATTTGTGGCTGGTAGACATTTTGAATTACTTTCGATACAATAAATCAGATGGGTGAGCACTACAGGGCCGTTGCATAATGTGATAACATGCCTTATTTATCTTAAAAGGGTAGGGAGAACTTGAAGTATTAAAAGATGGACATTATTTTTCGCTTGTTGTACCAAAGTCTTGTAGAAGAAAACTTATTGTTCTAACTACACTAGGATTTCCCATTTAAGTGATTATAACATAACATAACATCACGCCTTTTATCCCCGAAAGGGTAGGCAGAGGAGCACATTATACCACAGTGCAATGTAACAGCCACTTTTCACTATTTATGTTATGAGTCCCATGTAATAGGGGGTGAGCCTATTGCCATATACCAGGCACAACTCCAAAATCCGTGCTACTACTGAGAATATTTAAAAACCCATTAATACTTTGCCCGACCCGGGAATCGAACCCGAGATGCCTTGCCCGGTAGTCGCACTTACGACCAAACGGCCAAAGAGGCAGTAAGTGATTGTAAGTGCAACTGAAAAGTAAAAGGAAAAATGTTACTCAATTTTTTAAAAGTTAAGGGGTGATCTAGCAGATGGGTCACCTGATAGTAAGTGGTCAGTGGAGCACAACACTAAAGGAGATAACTACTAGAGTGTCGCCGGACTTTGAAGGGGAAGGGGTAAGTTTTCGATTCTCATTCAAATTACTGAGTCTGAAGTTAGATTTATCATAAAATATACTTAGTTCTACTCCTTCGTAACCCTTCTAGGTTTGAAAGGCTATGTGTCTCATATAAACACCCTGCACTTCCTTATTCCTTGTGCGTCTCTCAGCATTACTGCGTAGTGAAGTACTCGAGCGTTGCTTGATGTGACATGAAGGTTATGATGATATATCTACGGTATATATACAGGAAGGAAAGGAAATATTGCAATTATGTGTTAATGGTGTCTTGCTGGGACCTGTCACTTTATTTACGGCAAAGTGAGTTGTTCATATCTGTATTAGTTTTTTGTCTACGATTCCTGTTTGGATTTTTTGAAATACTTTTGCTATACTAGAAATAAGGCTCCCTAAACTGCCACACATTGGGCACTGATCAATTGTAGTCGCACGTACTACTGTGAATTTTGAGTAAATCAAATAAGTTCAATAATTCGGAATCGAGAATCAAACCACAATTTCCATTCATCCATGCAGCCTCTCATTCATCGAGACAGTTATTACACACACTGGTGTCGTGGTGACCCGAAGATTGAAGACGCCTGCTTCTCGTGTACGAGGGTGCAGGTTTGAAACCTAACAACGGCAAGTACCAATGGGACTTTTTCAGAGTTATATGTACTTTCTAAGATTATTTAGACACGACTGACCAACGGTGAAGGAAAACATCGTGAGGAAACCTGGACTTTTAATTTCTAATTATAAGTTTGAAATCGCCAACCCGTATTGAGCAAGCTCTAACCTTCTCCTTGTGAGAAGAGGCTTTGCTCAGCAGTGGGCATTTATAAGCTGTTGAAGATGATGATGATGATGATGATGAGGTCATAAAACTAAAGGGTTACCTAAAAGATACTTTCCATGTGCGGTTTCAGGGATTTCCTCACCAATTTTCTAGACTATACCTATGTACGGACGAACAAAGTTACAAAAACCTTATTTTCATCGTGTACCTAAATGGATTTTTGTAATTACGAATTCGAATGGTTTTTGAAGTGGGTCAAAGAGTTAGCAAAGAAATTTACGTTTGTAAGTAGTTCATTTTTTTTAAGATAACAATTGACATAAATATAATTAATATTAACTATTACTAAATGAAAATATATACAACTTAAAATATCAATAACTAAAATATTTACACCTAAAAAAATTCTATCATAAGGTATCAAAAAAAAAAATTTCCTCATTGCTATCGTGAGGTAGGGTGCCCAAAAAAATTGTCATTCATTAATTAGATAGTGCAATTGACAATCAAAATACTAAGAACAAACATAACGACCATAACCTTTGCTGTCGGGGAATAACTAACATGATCATCCTTTTTTTATTCAAGACGGGACATTTAGGTTCAGGTCATGCATCTATTAGCTACATCCTATTAAAGACCCTGTAAACACAAAACTTTGTGCCTCGCAATAATAAGGGTTTTTTTTAAGGGGGGAAAATCATCGAATGACTGCTCCCGCCTGAGTGAGGCGGGAGGAAGTGTCAGACTCTTACTGACTAAAAACCACCCCGTTCCTTCTCCTGCACGTCGAGCCGGAACCCCGGTAGCCTGTTAGGTTCTCCGCGACGCAATAATAAGGGTACTAAAATTCTTTTCAATTCACTTTAGTGAGTCATGTTGTTAGTTTCTCGGGTTCGATTCCCGGTTCGAGCAAAGTACGGTGTTATGTACTGGGTTTTTTAAAAAAATCTCAGTAGTAGCACGAAGTCTGGAATAGTGACCGATATATGGCGATATATGACCGATATAGGCTCAACTCCTATTACATGGGACTCAAAACATAAATAGTGAAATGTGGGTGTTATATTGTACAGTGGCATAATGTGCACTTTTGCCGTGGAAGTGTGTCAGCGTGTTGTGTATGTATGTATAAATTTAATATTGAGCAAAATTTTTGCTTACTAGAGACGGATCCAAAACAGGAAAAAATCAACAATAACAATGTTCCCATATACACAAAATGTTCAAAGTAAGGATAAATTAAATACTTCCGCCATTCTGTCGTCAAGAATTTGAAGGGTTAAGTAATTTTGGTAAACGAATGATCGGATCGACGCATCGAGGGGTTGACTGACAAAAAACCAATAAGTAATAATATGGACAACAATTTTTAAACTTTGTTTAGTCGAATTGTTTCATAAGGTATCAAACGAAAACAATGGTGTTTTCGTTGATGTTTTGTTTTGTTATTAGCTATTTTTAGCATAGGTAAAAATGTGAATATTTAATGTTATACTAGCTTCTGCCACTTAGTTTTTAGTCAAATTTCCGTGGTGCTTGGCGACTGGGCTTCACCCAGTTGTACAGTCTCTTCTTTGTGCCTTTAGGCTTAATTCATTCTGTCTCTCCTCTACTAATTCACCGAGGGAAGTAGAAACCATAGTTTTTTCTTCTTTTCCTCTTATAATATCTTCTGATTCACTTCGTTGCGGGAACCAAGACAGTTACTCATGTCCCTGGGACGCAGTTCAATGTTCCGGTGTTTTCATGGTTGTATCTACTGTAGATCCTGGCTTACAGGAGTTGCAGCGGTTTTGGGAGGTTCTGGCGGGCTTGTCCCATTTAACATAGCTTCTGCTAACGGCTTTGCCCGCGTTCCCGTGAGTTTAAAAGTGTAACCCTTCACATCGAAACCGCTGAAGAGATCGGGACGACATTTGGAACATGGTTAGGTTAGGTTAGAATGGAAGTGGAATAACACAAAGTAAGTTCTACGGGAACGTGAGCGAAGCCGCAGACAAAAACAGGCACAATATAATTTGTTGATCCATTTTTAAAACTAATAAAATGACATAAATTATATTTTACTAGCTTTTACCCGCGGTTCGCTAGCGTCACGAAAGGAAAGTAGCCTATGTGACATATAACGATATACACAGCGCCATCTATACTAATACTTTTGATTTCCCTCAAATTT